TAGCAAATTACATATCGTAATATGTTTACAATATTCGTCAATGTAGCAAAATACATAACGTGATATATTTACAATATACGTCAATGTAGCACAATACATAACGTAATATATTTACAATATACGTCAATGTAGCACAATATATAACGTAATATATTTATAATATACATCAATGCAGCACAATACATAACATAATATATTTACAATATACGTCAATGTAGCAAATTACATATCGTAATATATTTACAATATACGTCAATGTTGCAAAATACATAACGTAATATATTTACAATATACGTCAATGTAGCAAAATACATAACGTAATATATTTACAATATACGTCAATGTAGCAAATTACATATCGTAATATATTTACAATATACGTCAATGTAGCAAATTACATAACGTAATATATTTACAATATACGTCAATGTAGCAAAATACATAACGTAATATATTTACAATATACATCAATGTAGCAAAATACATAACGTAATATATTTACAATATACGTCAATGTAGCAAATTACATATCGTAATATATTTACAATATACGTCAATGTAGCAAATTACATAACGTAATATATTTACAATATACGTCAATGTAGCAAAATACACAACGTAATATATTTACAATATACGTCAATGTAGAAAAATACATAACGTAATATATTTGCAACATATTATAAATATACCTAATGTATGTGTACATGCATAATCAACTATTTTATTTTTGTAAAGTCTGCTTTTATTTCGTTTTTGTTGCTTGTCTTTTGTTGATATTTTAATCTTTTCGTTTACAACAAGGAATACAGTAACGACAACAGCAGCAGCAGCAATAACAACAATAATACACGTATGCGTCAAATTAGTCCAATACACTACGTGATATATTTACCATATACTACCATGTAATACAATGCACTACGTGATATATTTACCATATACTACCATGTAATACAATACACTACGTGATATATTTACCATATACTATCATGTAATACAATACACTACGTGATATATTTACCATATACTTCCATGTAATACAATACACTACGTGATATATTTACCATATACTACCATGTAATACAATACACTACGTGATATATTTACCATATACTACAATGTAATACAATATATTATGTAGTATATTTAACCAGTGGGCATACATACTAACCAAACATCTTTTCTGTTGCTTTTGTGATGTCTGCTTTATTTAGTTTTTTACGGTTGGACTTTTTGATCTTGTAAACTTTTCTTTTACAAATAGGAGTACAAAACAATAATACTGTAAAATGACTAATTTTCATTGGGTTTAAATTTCAGGCATATTCAGTGGGCTTTAACTTCACGGTTTTATCATTTAGATAATGTGTTCTATGCTAAATTTTACACATTAACTGGGTTTTAATTTAGCGCATTTTCCAGTCAGCGAAATAAGCAAAATTAAAACCCAGTGAATAATTAACCCCTTTACAGTATACTACAATTCATTATGTGATTATATATTTACACTATATTATTTTTTTTTTTCAGTCTTCCATGGATGCCTATATGTTTGCTATGTTCATGGTTTTTATGATTTATTATACCATATTTACGTATTTTCTGGTGCCTGAAACTAAGCAAAAAACGTTTGAGGAAATTGTTGCACAGTTTCGCCGAAAGCCAAGTTACAATTCTAGGACAAGTGAAGAAATGAAAATGACGGAACATTATAAACATCAATGACAACAAAAAATGATTACGTGATATTTGTTATTCATTTTTCTTTGTCTTCGCAAGGTAAACCAAAGTTTTTGGCAAGGTTTTATTTTTGTGTCTAAACAGTTAATTTAACCCGTAGTCACAAAATTATCAGTTCGGTTACTGGAATGAATCACAAGAATAAGCGTGGTTTGCAGAGGGAAATAAAGACAAAATGTATGAGATTTAGATACATATCTCTAGAAACCTAAAAATATTATATTTGCCCTGAGTTGATGAAAAAAAATGTATTAACTTATGTTTTCTACATTTTTATAATAAAAGCATTCACTTTTCTCGGCGTCTGCTAGATAATGGTTGCCACGCACGTGACATGCATGAAAAGACTGTCGTCTTTTTTAAAGCAACGAGAGTCAACAATAGATGATTTTCCGTACAATTGCGAGATCTCGCGAGATGCATGAAAGACGCGCGTCGAACGTCTGCCGCAAAAATCGAACGATTTGATTTTGAACTCGAATTTCCTTATTTCGTAGCTCACACCGACCGGCCGATCTTCGACAGAGGAATATTGCTTCCGAATACCCTTACTTAATCGAAATTGCCTATCATCAAATGTGGACAGCACATTATTAAGCATGGAAAATACATTCGCGTTTGTCGAATCCCACGCGATGTTTGACGCCACTACAACGCTATGACCTTTGTTTGTCCTGTTTTTACGTTCGATTTCACGCATAACGCGTGATTCTCGCAGTGTACGGAAAATGGTCTATTGTCATGTAACCGAGTCATATTGATTACACATATAATCCATATGGGAATATATAGG